TTGTAGACACAGTAATCATATCAAGACACAGTAACAGAACCACATCTATCTGTTCCTCAAATTCTAGCACTATAATGTTGTGTTGACTTAAATTAAAGAATGTGTAACTATAAGTTAAGTAATTCTCATATATGTAAATTATTTAATACAACACAATCACACTTACGTGTTACGAGTCTAATGCTAGCAGAGGTTTTTAGCTGTTCACAGTATGTCTGTAAGAGGTAGTCTGACTGGGTAGTCTCAGTGTATCCCCTGCGTAGATGGCTACTCGCCATCTACAGAATCGTGGATTCAGCAAATAACAGGGTAGCTCTGGGTAAACACCTACATAGCTCACTTCACTCCCCTCTCTTATATCTTCACTACCTCGTAACTAAAGCTATTTTCTAACAAGTTATTAATGCCGTCCACGTGGTTTCCCGTGGGCGGTAACAAGGACCTAACCAGTTGATTCACCACCCAGTTGCAATACAATAATTTCAAAATAACAAAGGAATGCCAAAGACACCTAGGCGCAGTAATTGGCACGACTGACTTCAAGACCGAGTACGTAACGGGAAAGGTGAATGAGTGGGTTAGGGAAATCCAAGCTCTGTCTGAGATTGCTAACACAGAGCCACATGCAGCTTTTGCGGCATTCACCCATGGAGTCAAGCATCGCTGGAACTACCTGATGCGCACTATCCCTGATATTGGTCCCCTCCTCCACCCTCTGGAAGAAGTTATCAGCATCAATTTCATTCCCAAATTAGTGAAACACCCTCACTTAACCACCGAGACTGAAAGGTATGGGATTGACCAATCCAGAGGAGATTGCTGCCACCGAACATCAGAACTCAGTTAAGCTCACGGCAGCCCTCACGGACCACATAATAGCTCAGAACGCAACAGGGAATGTGGATACCAGTGAAGTAAACAAGATTCAAAGGTCCTTTACGACAGAACGACAGCACATCCAAAGTGATAAGTTGCAGCAACTGTTGTTGCAAGTACCAGAGAATTTGAAAAAAAAATAGCAATAGCACAGGAGGTGGGCGCCTCAAAATGGTTAACTACGTTACCGATATGGGCAAATGGTTTCAGTCTCAATAAACAAGAATTTACAGATGTCAATGCTCTAAGGTATGGTAGGCCAATAGAAGGTTTGCCCTCCCAATGCGTGTGTGGCTCTTCCTATGACGCCGATCACGCCATGGTGTGCAAGAAAGGGGGCTTCATATGCATGAGGCATGGCGAAGTAAGGAATCTCACAGCAAATATGTTGAAGGAAATCTGCCATGATGTCAGGGTAGAACCGACCCTCCTTCCATTGGACGGTGATATTTTCCAACATAGGACTTCAAACACATCCAACGAAGCCCGTGTTGACGTCAGTGCTCGAGGATTCTGGATGCGGGGACAGCAAGCCTTCTTCGACATCAGGATTTTTTATCCCATGGCCGCATGTCTCCGTAACTTAGCTCTTGATGCTGCACACAGGAGGAACGAGAACGACAAGATAAGGGCATACTGGGAGAGAATTCAGAACATTGAACAAGGCAGCTTCACTCCTCTAGTGTTCACAACCTCTGGTGGGATTGGACCAAGTGCAAGATACTTTACACCATACTTGCGGAGGTGATATCCAAACAGAAGCAGCAGCCCAGAAGTTATGTTACAGCCTGGATGAGATGTCGACTGTCCTTCTCTCTCCTTCGGTCGGCTTTGCTCTGCCTCAGGGGAACGAGAGCTTCGGCCTCAAAGCCGATAACAGTTGCAGATATTGACTATGAGGCTACAGCTACTGAATGCCGCATAGATCTGCGGCTCAACTAACTCAACACAGCTAGGATAGCTACTTATGTATTAGGATATTTAATATTAAGGTAATAAAATGGTGGCGAAGGAATGGCTGTCAGGGGAGGCTGGAGGCCATTTAAAAAAAAAAATTTCAGTGTCCCTCTCACTTTACTGCTCAGTGTTTGCTGTCTAATTTTAAATGTTCATGGCTGGCCCTGAATATGGGAGTACTCTAACAATTCCATCCAGACCATTTCAGTTTGCACTGTTCACTGTTACACAGTTGACCCTGGGAATGTAAATGTCACTTCCGGACCCTCTCACGAGTACAGCACTGTACTGTACTTACAGTACTGTACTGTGCTGTAAAACTGCTCACAGCAATGAAAAACATTTGGAAACCACCTTCCACAGATGTTACACTGGAAAGCTGGCAACAATGTGACAAAACTTGTTTAGGGGATGTTTGTAGATAGGAATCAGGCTTGATATATAGTCTTGTTACTGGGTAACTTTGACACATTATGTGAGCGAGGAATGAGTGCACTTTTGTTTCTAAAGTCACTTAGTGACGTTGCAAAGTTTCAGGGAGTTGTCAATTTCAGTACACAATATCAGCCTTGTTCCCTGTTACTTTATACTGTATTGGATTGTACTGTGCAATAGTAATGAATGACTTGTTGTGTGAACAGGATGGAATAACATAAGTGCTGGCTGATATGTCTTGCTTGATCTGTATCCCTGAGTGCACTGCCTCCTCCCAGAGGGGGATTTAGTTGTGAGATCATGATTGGCTACTGAAGTAGTTCATAATGTGGTGTGATGATTGTGCCATTGCACAATCATCGCACCACCCTCCGACCACACTTATGTGTGTACAAAAAAAATTATGTATGCATGCAAACTAATTTCTCCTGATACAGACTTGACACTCATGCAGGCACTTTTGTATGCTACATTACAGTATATAATGATGGTAACGATAACACTAGGATACTCAACACAATGCCACAGTGGAAGAATGACATGCTTAGTGATGAATTTCAAGTCATCTGAACTTTGAAAAGCAGGGTGATGATGATGTGGCAAATGTGAGACCTTTTCAATCTTGTACACATAAGTGTGAAAAAATAAAACATTGCAGATACATTTTATCTTTCCTTTTGTCTCTTCCAAAGTACATAGACAGGTTTGAAGGCAAGACAATTACCTTGTACTGTACATCATTAATAGAGCATGAAGAGTGACATCTAGGTTAGGTGAGTGGTGTAAGAAGCAGGAACAGGTGTGGAAGCAGCTGGAGGATCATTAGAAATTAACTCCCAGTCATATGAATTAAGTAAAGGATTTGGTGAGCCACTCAAAATTTTTGTCTCTGGTCGTTCATAGTTCCTGGAAAGCTTTCTTCAAGAATTCTGCAATGTCACTTGCTTCATGAAGTTGGATTTCTCATTTATCCGTTTCTCCTGAATTTATAGAGATTTATATTATCCAGTTACAGTGCTTAAGAAAACAAATTCACTGAACAGCAAGCAATGTCTTTCTTATCCAGGTAAACCTTTTTAAAACCATTGAGTGAACGAAATTCTGAATTTATCTGTGAAATGACTGGAGATATGTGAACACAAAATCAGGAAGTGTAAACATTGAATGAGCTGCAGTTTGAGCATCCACAGCACTGGACAACAGAGTAACAACACTAGCAGTTAGAACCAGGTTTTCTGAATTTTGCAATGCTTGTTGTGTTTCAGAGAACTACTGTGCTTTTTTTTTTTTAATACAGTAGTATACAATACTGTAATTTTTATGTTTTGCTGTTTCATTAAGTATCATATCTCCTGATAATGCTTGCTGAAAATTTCATATTGTTTTACTGTTGATAATTGTTCAAGTATTGTACAGGTTGTACCTCTCTAGTCCGGCATTCTGTGGTCCGGAAACTCCCGTGGTCCGGAACGATTTTAGTTTGCCCATGGAGAAATTAATTTGAGTCTGGTACTTTCGATGTTTGGCTAAATTTTGCCTTATTTACCCTACTTTTTTGGGCGAATTACTACCTGTAATAAAGCAACATCCTAATAAATCAACCAAAATAACACAGTTAAAATAAAAAAAAATGAAAACAACACAGAAAAGTTCTTATGTTCTACAGCTTCAGCTAGAGTTGAGCATACGTCATCCGAGTAAAATCACACACAACAACATTGGCTGTCCTTATGTTTTCAACTTTACCACCATCTGGTGGGTAGAATTTTTGTTTTAAATTCAGAAACATTAATTAAAACATATATGAACAGTAAATAAGCGTTGCTTTCATATTCTTAGGTATAGTAATGACGATATGTTTTCACATGTGCGCACTTGCTGTACATACGTGAGCTCACTTTTTTCTTTACCATTAATGGTTAGCTACTTATATTGTTCCATTTATTAACATTAAATAACATTACTTAAAACAACCACATTAATTTTTTAAATTAATTTTACAACAGCTACAACCAGGGTCTTATTTTCTTCAGTTTTATATGTAGATCCAGTCAGTCACTGGTTTTGTAATCAACGAAAACAATGACGTCTCGTTCCTCTTGTGTTTTAATATTCTACATATTATAAATGAATTGTATTGTTCATTTTGCACACATAAAAATTAATTAAATCAAAAAGACATTCAGCAATAAACAATAATGAATCTTTTGTGCATAAGAGAAATGACGCTGTTTACACAATTTGTGCACGTCTGAACGTTGGCGGGCCGCTCAAACCCATCGAAATTCGAGTTTCCACCGTCAAAATTTTAAATTGCGTAGTGGTTTTTTTTTGTCCAAATAAAAAGTGTCGAATTAAAAACTCCCAAAATTTGAGAACCTACTGTACAACATTTAACCCTTCAATATATCTTCAAAGAGACCACGAAGTAGTGAAAGTGGTGCTAGTGCTTCCAAGCATAAGCACAAGTCACTATCTATCCAGAAAAAGGGTGAATTTCCATGGTCCGGAAATTTCCATGGTCCGGCACCGGTCAGGTCCCGAGGTTACCGGACTGGAGAGGTACAACCTGTATTGTCATGATGAAGATAATGATTCAGATAATCAGTCAAACACTGCTTCCTTTTTTGGAAATTTTGACCCATTAGTGTTAGGTTGGCAACTCGGTGCTTTATCACCGAGTGGTTCATGAATTAATTGTTTGTACAATAATTCATAAATTGTTCCTACAGGAAGGATTGCTTGATCGTCAAGAACTTTTAGAGTGGGTTGTGGAGGCTTTTGTACGTTGGCGTGGAGCTGAACATGATGTTGTCCTTCGTGTGGTGTTGCCTCTGCCCTTACAGTACTTAGATGAAATCACACAATCAGAGTATCTCTCACGTAAACTAGCTCATTACTCAGCAGCCAAGTTGGCTCAACTGTGTCATGACTCTGGTTATGCCTCACCCAGGCCACAGTCTCCTGTCAACCAGACCAGCAATGGGTAAGAATTTAGATATACAGGGCCTTGTTTAATGTGAAATTAATGTTCTATCATAGTCTAAAAAAATATATTTGCATACTGTACAAGACATATAAGATAGTGAAAAATGACAATGATATGTTTTCATATCCCACCACAAATATGGAAAGGACATATATTGTTGTCCTTCTCTATCCACTATAGCGTGTTTTTTCCCAGCTGAGAAAAGATGCCCCTCCCCCTCCTCAAGAGTTACAGCTGATTGGCTGTTCCAAACCTGTCCGATTTTGTCCTGAGTAATGATGTATTTCTAAATTAGTTTATTCATAATGACCATTTCTGACGAGAAAGATATTTAACTAAATTATATAAAGATACATACCTTCATTATTTCAAACAGGAGCTCCTAGGAAGTTTATCAGAAGTATTATACGTGAATTAACTGATAAACTCGGGTAGCGAATTCACGTTTTCGGAGGATGCATTTAATATATACTTATTTTTACCCAGAATAAGGCATACTAAGACAAATTACATATCAGTAATAGTACATTATGCAAAAACAACATTTTAAAAGATCAGAACCACATTGAAATATTACACGACCGTTAGCAGAGGTGGAAAAAATATGAAGTAGTTCGCAGGTTTGCAACAGCCAATCAGCTGTAACTCTTGAGGAGGGGGGCAGGGCATTTTTTTCTCAGATGAAAAAAATGCACTATAGTTGGTCATACAGTCATGAAGCTTTATCTTCTTGCTTAGACTGGTGAGAATTGCAGAATCCTTAGACTTTGGTATAGTTTTTAGATAAACTTTTCATTTACCCCATTGGCTGTGGGAGGTTTCTGTACGCTGAATAAAATCATCTGGCTGTAGCCACAATAAAATGATAGAGTGTAGGAAATACATCATTCGGGTTAACTCAGAAGATCAATTTTATAATACAGTACAGTAGTACCCCGATTTACGCGGTCAATTGAACCCACAGGGTACCGCGGAAAGTGAAAACCTCGTTAAGTGAACAACAGAACATATGGGATTAATTCCAATAGAGACTGGCCCAACCCCCAAACTCCACTTTTTCCGACACAATACCTATGTTGTAGTAAAAATAACATCTTAATTTTATGATGGTATGCTCACACAATTATTATTTAAGAGAAATACAGTCCCAGGTTAATGTCCATTCAAATAATGGACTCAAATCCCCCCCCCCCACCCTCTTCCCAGCTCACTAGCTCCTACCTCTCTGAGAAATGTTTGGGTGAAAACACTAGATTTTAACGTTTAGTAATAAATAATACCTCAGACTAAAGTTAGGATAATATAATTGACATTTCTGGATTCCTTGCAGGTCAGGGAATATTTTGAATGTAAACTTCATATATTTTGCACAAAAGATAAAATATTTGCTTTGTGTAAACCAAATTATTACATTAGATCTAAAATTTGTATGTCTAATGCAAAATCCATGATGTTTATATTCAAAATGATCATCATATTGTAAGAATTCCAGCAATGTAAATTATATTCTGGCCGGGTAATTTGTATGAATTTTATGAGCTAAAACAAATATCTTCAGTTAATAAACAAAAAATATTCTTCACGACACTCTGTCAATCAAAGTACCACCTTGCCTCCCCCCCCCTCCTCACACTCACGCCAGCTGGTCAGTCGGTTCCAACCCTCCCCCCCCACCCCCCACCTTCCCTCCCTACCAGAGAAATGTTTGGGTGAAAACACTAGATTTTAACGTTTAGTAATAAATAATACCTCAGACTAAAGTTAGGATAATATAATTGACATTTCTGGATTCCTTGCACGTCAGGGAATATTTTGAATGTAAACTTCATATATTTTGCACAAAAGATAAAATATTTGCTTTGTGTAAACCAAATTACAGTCAACCCTCACTTTACGCGGTCCCACATTCCGCGTGTCCACGTTTACGCGGTGCCCTGCCAGAACCCAGGATGCTCACATTCCGCGGTGCGTGTACCCCTTTACACGGGTGAAGTATAATTTTTTTATTTTAGCTCATAAAATTCATACAAATTACCTGGCCAGAATATAATTTACATTGCTGGAATTCTTACAATTTGATGATCATTTTGAATATAAACATCATATATTTTGCATTAGACATAAAATTTTTAGATATAATGTTTACTCTGAGTAAATATGTTATCTTTTGTGCAAAATATATGACATTTATATTCAAAATATTCCTGGTCTTACAAGGAATCCAGCAATGTCAATTATATTATCCTAACTTTAATCTGAGGTATTATTTAATACTAAATGTTAAAATCTAGTTTTTTCACCCACCCTTTCTCTTGAAGGGAGGGTTGGTGGGAGGTGGGGGGGAGGGTTGGGACAGACTGACCACCTGGCTCGTTGGAAGAGGGGGGAGGCAAGGTGGGGTACTTTGATTGACAGATAGTGTCGTGAAGAATATTTTTTTTTTTATTAACTGAAGATATTTGTTTTAGCTCATAAAATTCATACAAATTACCCGGCCAGAATATAATTTACATTGCTGGAATTCTTACAATTAGATGATCATTTTGAATATAAACATCATAGATTTTGCATTAGACATACAAATTTTAGGTGTAGGCTAATGTTTACTCAGAGTAAATATGTTATCTTTTGTGAAAAATATATGACATTTATATTCAAAATATTCCTGGTCTTACAAGGAATCCAGCAATGTCAATTATATTATCCTAACTTTAGTTTGAGGTATTATTTATTACTATACCTGGTTTTCCCCCCAAAATTTCTCAGAGGGAAGAGCCAGTGAGTGTACTGTGAGAAGAGGGGGAGGGAGTGGAGTCCATTATTTGAATGGACATTAACTTGGCGACTGTATTTCTCTATTTCTCTTAAGTATTAATTGTGTGCATGTACCATCATAAAATTAAGATGTTATTTTTACTAGAACATAGGTATTGTGTTGGAAAAAGTGGAGTTTGCGGGTAAGCTGGTCTCTACTTCATTTAATCCCATATGTTATGTTATTCACTTTACGCGTTTCTCACTTTCTGCGGTACCCTGTGGGTTACATTAACCGCGTAAAGTGAGGGTTGACTATTACATTAGATCTAAAATTTGTAAGTCTAATGCAAACTCCATGATGTTTATATTCAAAATGATCATCATATTGTAAGAATTCTAGCAATGTAAATTATATTCTGGCCGGGTAATTTGTATGAATTTTATGAGCTAAATAAAAAAAATATATATTATACTTCACCACGTATATGAGTAGATGCACCGCGGAAAGTGAAAGTCCAGTTCTGGCAAGGTACCGCGTAAATGAGAAATCGCGAAATCGCGGAAAGTGAAACCGTGTAAAGCGGGGTAATACTGTATTTACATTTACCGTATCTCATACTGTTCAAGGAGGTAAGCTTTGTGGGTTATCTCTGTTCTACAGACAATTTTCATATTTTTATCATACTGTATATGAAATTCATAGTCCAGTTTTCTGTCAATGAAATGCCTACTTTTTTTTCTTCAAATTTACAGTATGTCATAGTTATTTAATAAATATTTTATTTACTTTATTTTATTTATTTATTTATTTTATTGAAATTTTTTTCAGAATTAGTTTAAGTGGTCAGGGTTCTGGGAGCAGTCAGCCATCAGGGCCGACTATCAACCCTCTTGCAGCAACATTCCAAGAACTTCTGTCTTGTCACCAGCACCGCCCAGTTGTCCTGGCAGCTTCCTGCTTCATCCAGGTACTTGATGAATAAACCAACACCTACATACAAACAGGGTTAAACTTGAAATTTACAGTACAGTAGACTCACAACTTACGCGTATTTTTCTTATGCGGTTTCAACTATGTGCGGATTACCCCGGGGATTAGGTTACAATTTCCAATTGCAAGCTCAAAACTTTTAGAATGGGTCATAAGCCCACCAAAGGTCCACCCCCGCCATATATATATACAGTGATGTAGTGTTATGGACAAAATTCCCTAAACACTGAGCATCTACTTCCTGGTATGTACCATACTGTTCTGTACAGTACAGTACAGTACAGTATATGATTAGTTTATATTTAACAGTGCATTTTTTCATCACATATTATGCCAGAACCACAAAATGGAAATAATATTTCTTAATATTAAGAAAAAATCTGAGATAATGTGTTAAAATTTCAATTCCCTTTACCTAATGCCAGATACAGTACTGTCAAGTGTCTAGGGAATTTTGTTTGTAACTTTACCTGGAAGCAGTGACAGATCGTCAATGAGGCAGTTCAAGCTGAAGCCCCAGCTCCATGCTTGAGGGAGGTCCCCAGTTGTAGTGTGTAAACAGCAAGGTACGCTGTGTTAAGGTTCCTTTATGTTCGTTGTTCAGTAAGCCTAGGTATCATATGTGTAAATAGTAAATGGCACTGAAGATTTTGTTTTCATATTCTGTTCGATAAGACCTGTTTTGCTTACATTACACACTTGGTGAGCACTGTAACCCCCCATCCTTAATCACTGCAGTTATTGTTCTGGAAATTCAGAACTTATACCAGGTACCACTTTTTCTCACAGGAGATAGAACAAGTAGCATCTGGCATAAGTTGCCTTGAATCTTTGGGTTTATTTAACCAATATTAATTTCAAAATCTATGCAAAAACAATTACACCAATTCCCCCATTAAAGTCGTTTCGTTATAACGTCATTGAAAAAAGAAAGAAAATATATATGAAAATGATAAATGTACGACAATTTTAGAAAATTTTGTGCGAAGGCGCTCAGCACCTTATTGTTACAACAGCTGGCCGTGTAACTGACCAGCGTGGGCACCATATTTGTATGTTTTTGTTTGGTGGTTGGTTGCTGCTCTTCCAACATTCACTCAAAATCCAATTATAAATTTATTTGAGCCCTAGAACAATGGTTTACAAGAGCATAAAGCCACAATGGTTTAGTAAATTGCCAGTGTAGGCTTGTTCAGTGTTTGGGGGATACACTGAATCCGCTGGCATCCACTCATTACCCACTCACCAACCTGACAACAGTTGAAAATATCTTATCCCCATGGCTCCCCCAGCAAAAAGGATGAAATATGACTCAAGTTTCAAGCTGAAAGTTGTTGCGATTGCAAACTCTTCAAACAACAGTGCTGCAGCGGATGACAGTTTAAGTCTAAGCCGTGCTGCTGTGCTGTCGACAGTGTAACGGACTCATAGTTTCGCAGCTGGCCGCTTGGTGTTGGTTTCGCCACTGGCAGTTTGTTTACAACAACTGATGCAAATGGCGGATCGTAAGCCTGGTGTACCATAATGTTCTACTATCATACCGTGTACTTTCAAGGTTCTATACTGGTATGCTGTGTAAACAATGATTATTTTATTGGAGGTGCTGATTTTGGCTTTTTGTTTACCAGAGTTCTTACGAAGATAACTTACTGAAGATTTTTAGCGGTTGCTTGTTGTCCTACGTAGATCCTGTTGCCCACTTCCCTTTTCGTATGAATTACTGTATATAATATATGTACAGTCTCTCCTCGACTTACGACAACCCGGACATACGACGGCCATGGTCGTACAAAATATTTTTCACATTACGTATTTTCGAGTCCCGGCGTTAGTGATCGTGCTGTGTACTGGCAAAATTTTTGTTTGTAATTCCCTTTAAAATGGCTGTCAAGCATAAAAGTGAGAGTTCTCGTGGTGCTGAGAAGAAAAAGAGACACCCATTTTAAAATTTCTAGGTATTATTTTCGCCTTTTCGACTTACGTCCTGGTCATCGGGACGGAACCCCGTCGTAAGTTGAGGAGAGACTGTATATCAAATATTGAAAAGTATTACGGTAAGTGTCTTGATGAAAGTGGCGTGGCCTTATTACACACTTTCGTTTATGTTTGGGCCTTGGGAGGTCGACTTATGTGGCGAGTATAGAACTAAACCTGAATTTTGAACTAAAAATCTCGAGGTCAACTTATACGACGGGTCGACTTATACGAACCAATTTACGGTACTTGTGCATGTAACAAAGTACAGTGGGGTATGCTATAACGAATCTAATTGGCTCTAGAACCTTGTTCGTTATAGCATTTGTTCGTTATAGGATTAATCCGTTCCAGGCCCCCAAATACAACCACTTAACACTGAAAAATATAATATAAAATTGTAAAAATTTAAAAAAAGTGCATAAATATGCATCTAAACCCCTGAAATAAAGAATATCATTAATACTTGTAATAAAAAAAACAATAAATTAGTTAAAAAATAAAAATAAAAATTTTTTTATATAATGTTCGTTGTAGGAGTTTCATTCGTCATAGCATTCTCAATTTTATAGGTAAAATCGTTCGTTATAGGAATATTCGTAGTAGGATCCATTCGTTATAGCATTCCCCACTGTAGTAGGGACTACTACTATATGTTGTCATAATATCTTAATTCTTTTACTTTTTTTATTATTTATTTATTAGTTTCACTGTTTTAAATTAGTTATTCACTGATTCTTGTCTTGTTAAATTTTCAGGCTGTTACTCTGGACTGTCCAACTGCCCTGGTGTGGAATAATGCTGGTGAGGGCAAAGCTACCTCCTGGCTGACAGGGTCGCCCCTTGACTTGCTTCCTTGTGCCCCTTCAGACCTTCCCATGCCTCCTCGTTATAATAACCAACATGTTAGGTAAGAATAGGAGTATCCACTCTTGTCCTCTATTAAAAGTTCAGCTACTGACTTTTAACAAGAAACTCAAAAAGTTAGTAGCCGATTTTCCGGCACCCTTGGTTTCAAAGCTTGCCGGATTATCTATTTTGCCAGACCAACCGAGGTCAGGTAATAATAAATCAACAATACACCTCTGACCCACTAATGATACACCTCCTGTGTTTGCAAAGCACCATGAACTGCTAGAAACTTAAATTAAGCAAATGTTATATATAAATTAAATGTGAAAAAGCCATAATTTTGAGCAATGTATTACTGTACACACTTTGTACTCAAATGTACTACCCTAAAGGATTAAAAATTTTATCTCTTGTGCAAACTATGTGATGTTTATACAGTACTTAAATTAATCACTCTTACAAGGATTTCAGCAATGCAAGTTATATTCTGATAAGTCTAGTCAGTGACATTTTATAAGATAAAACTTTTTTTTAGCCCAAAACCACCTTTACCCTGGCTGGGAGGATGGGGGAGGGGGAGATGAGGTGTTAACACAGGTGGTGGCTAAAGGTTGCGAAGGTTCCCTAATGTGTATTTATCAATAATATAGAGGGAGTTTAAGTTTTTTGCTTATGAAATGTCACTGAATTGTCTTGCTAGAATATAACTTACATTACTGGAATTCTTATAAAATAGAGATTAATTTGAGTGCAAACATTCCAATTGAGTACCCCTGTCCTACACTCTGCGCTCTCCTCCCATTTTGTGTTTGCCATTAGGAAATTTTTTTCTCACAATATGTATGTAGGATGGTGTGTGCATATAACTTAGTAAAAATAAATGAAGAAAGTTACGTATATCTACCCAAAAATACAAGTTGAAAAACAACCATAACATCTCACAGCTTGGCGTAGTAGCCTGGTGGTTACAGTGATGAGTCTAACAGCTACAATGCCATAATTAATCACTGTTAAGCACTATTATATCAGCAAACACTAATAATAACAGTAAACCCAGTGAAATATGGCAGGGAGCGAGGAGAGCTACAAGAGCAGGCGGCGCTCTAACTTGTGGTCACTCATTTGTTCCCGTTGCCAGGCGTACAATTGAAATGTAGATGGGAAAATTACATACTTGTATCTTGTAGTCTAATTTGAAAACGGTGACTGGCTCAGTGATAAACAAATTATATAAACCATGCATTTACCTATGATAACATAATAAGAAACATTGTATCATTACTAGTGAATGAAATAATATTCCAACAAACAACAATTGACAACTGTTTATGTTTCCCACCTTGGGGACCTGTGTCCCGCGTGCTGACATCTTAGTTACACGGGCCTAAGATGATCTTTGCTTTGTTTTGGGAATGCTTCTTGAGAGGCTTCTTAGCCCCCGGAACCCCCAAAATTTTGTCCGAATTTTCTTCCGAAATCTGGATTTATCGGGTCCGAATCTTCGAGGGTTCACTATAATAATAATAATTAATGGTTTATTGAAAGAGCATGGCAGCTGGAAGGCTGAAAATATACAGTTACATAATTGTGGAATGGGTCTCTTGATTTACAAATAATATACAAGTAACATAAGTGATACAAATATGATATATAATAACTAGGTGGGGAGAAGCTCAAACTACAGGGCATTTCAACATACAGTGACAGTGCAAAGAGTAAGATTGACTGGGAGTGAATACACTGGTTGATTACATGTTATTCATAATTTTTACATTGGTTGGGACTGGGCTGTTCTTATAGCGATCAGTTCGTGCTCGTATGGGCTGGATGCGGTGTGGCGTCGAACAGCAATTCTTGGGCAAGGGATCTCAGGTGGTAGTAGGAGCCGGTGTTGAGGATGGTGCAGAAGCTTCTCACCAAATTTGCAGATGAGGTCTGTGTGTGTGTGTGTGTGTGTGTGTGTGTGTGTGTGTGTGTGTGTGTGTGTGTGTGTGTGTGTGTGTGTGTGTGTGTGTGTGTGTGTGTGTGTGTGTGTGTGTGTGTGTGTGTGTGTGTGTGTGTGTGTGTGTGTGCGTGTGCGTGCGTGTGTGCGTGCGGCGCGTGCGTGTGCGTGCGTGCGCGTGCGTGCGTGCGTGCGCATGCGCGTATAATTAACGGTTTATTGAAAGTTCTGCAGCCCGAAGGCTGAAAATATACATTGGACATAAATGACTTATTACATACATTGGTGGTTTAACAAAAGCCTTCATTAGAGAAAGGTGAAGGAACATACAGTGAACAAACAGATTAATGTAGGTGTTGAACAGCAAACACGTAGTGTAGTAACTCCCTCCCAGATGGTGTTAGGAGGGACCTCACGTGGTGTAGTAGTTCCCTCACAGATGGTGTTGTGAGGGGCCTCACGTGGTGTAGTAATTCCCTCACAGATGGTGTTATGAGGGGCCTCACGTGGTGTAGTAATTCCCTCACCGATGGTGTTATGCGGGCCTCACGTGGTGTAGTAATTCCCTCACAGATGGTGTTATGAGGGGCCTCACGTGGTGTAGTAATTCCCTCACAGATGGTGTTATGAGGGGCCTCACGTGGTGTAGTAATTCCCTCACAGATGGTATTATGAGGGGCCTCACGTGGTGTAGTAATTCCCTCAAAGATGGTGTTATGAGGGGCCTCACGTGGTGTAGTAGTTCCCTCACAGACGGTGTTCTATGAGTGAGGTGTGGTCCCAGGCCTTCCTATCGTAGACGGATTAACACTTCGCTGGTTGTAGGGTCGGGCCGTTATCACTGGGTACCTGGGACCTCACTGTGTGAAGGTCAACTTGGGTACCACTGTTACTGTTGAGTTGTTCTCACCGACTTAAGCACTGTTCACCACTGTTCACCTCTGTTTAACACTGGTTCCATTCCTTTCCTAAATGAAATAGTAACTTCTGGCGTGAACTTGTTGATATTCCGGTGGGGAGGAGGGTTCAGGGGAGGGAGTTGGTATGGGCCAACTTAACAGTTGACCTGGCTGCTCCGAGAGGAGCGCCAGGTACGTCTTGACCCTTCGGTGGTCAAGGATGTAGTGTGTGTGTGTGTGTGTGTGTGTGTTCCCCAGTGAAGACGAGCCCGAGGGCAAAAAACAACTTCGTTCACTAAGTGACTTGAAAGCAGAGGATCTTAGTCACAAACGATCTAGCGACTTTATAATAGAATACGTGCTGTGGTCGCCGTGCTGACCAGACCATATAAGAAATTGTCCCAAACACAATATCTGAGAGATATAAACAAAATAAAAGTCACTCGATTTCCTCACCGTGCTAAGATGTATGAATACCGTATATAAAATCCTCGTGGCACTTAGTATTTCAGCTATTACAACACAAATTAGCGGAGCCTTCTTTGCACGTATTTACAGCTGATTCGCCAGGCAAGAAGATGACGGTGGCAGTGCGTGTGATGGAGGGTGCAGGGAGGGGGTTTTGAGAATTGCAATTAAATGCCAGGTAGCGACATGTCCTCCTAATATTATGAATTTTTAAGTAATTATTAGATGTTTTAACTGCCTGTATGATGGCCTGGTGAGTTAATTCTAGGCATTTACATACCTAGGTACAAGCTAGGCATTGCATTCTGGATTGAACAAAAAATTAATTTATATGTTTTAAGTAAAGTTATTTAATGTTAATAAATGGAACAATTGAAGTAGCAAACCACTAATGGCAAAGAAAAAAAAAAGATGTGGATTGGGAACGCCAACATATACGTGCGCATTTAAGGATACCGCGTCATTTATCTTAAGAATATGTACAAAAGATTCATTACTGTTTATTACTGAATATGTATTTGATTGAATTAATGTTTATTTATGTGAAATGAACATTGTAATTCATTAATATGTAGAATATTAAAACACACAAGAGGATAAGAGACGACATTGTTGTCAAGTGTTTACACCCAATGTATACATGTGCACTCAAGGAAACATAGTCATTTATCTTAAGGATATGTACAAAAGATTCATTATTGCTTATTGCTGAATTGTATTTGATTGAATTAATGTTTTTATATGTGAAATGAAAAATGCAATTCATTATAATACATAGAATATTAAAACACACAAGAGGAGACAAGACGGTATTATTTTCGTGAGTGACGATGGTTCTACATAAGAAACTGAAGAAAATAAGACCCTGGTTGTAGCTGTAGTGAAATTAATTAAAAAAAAAAATTGAATACCTGTATGTATGTTTTAAGTAATGCTATTTAATGTTAATAAATGGAACACTCGGAGTAGCTAACCACTAATGGTAAAGAAATAAGGCGAGACGATTGGGAACACCAACGTATGAACAGCAAGTGCGTACATGTGAAAACATATCATCATTTCTCTACATATGAATATGAAAGCAACACTTATTTACTCTTCATATATGTTTTAGATAACATTTATGAATGTAAAACTAAAATTCTACTCGCCAATGGTGGTAAAATCTGAAACATAAGGACAGCCAAGGAATATTGTGCGAGTTTTTACTCAGATGACGATGTCATCAGGTTCAACTCTGGCTGAAGCTGTAGGTTCAACTCTGGCTGAAGCTGTAGGTTCAACTCTGGCTGAAGCTGTAGGTTCAACTCTGGCTGAAGCTGTAGCTTTCCATAAAGCTGTTGCTGAAACTGTTACTGAACCTGAAGTTGATGTTGAAGCTGTTTATGATGCTGAATTTGATGGTGTAGCTGAAGTTGGTGGTTTAGGCCTTCGAATAATAAAGCTGTCGAAAGAACCTTGCACAGCTGCTTTCTTTTCTCATTATACATCTTTATGTAGAGGTCATTTGCATTTATTTAAATTTTAATGCTTTGTTCTCTTAATGAATCCACTTCAAAAATATGTTCATTGCTTGCTCCATATAATATCCACAGACCTCACTTTTTTCATATCGTTTTAACACATCTAGTTTCTCGGCTAAGCTTTGTCACTTTCTATTTGCTTTTGAAACAACACTACCATCACTTGCTCTCTTGCTCATGTTGAATAGGGATGCAAAAATGCTGTAAGAAACCTGAGAAAGTTTTT